CCGCCAGACTGAAACTGCGGAAAGAGAGCTGCGGGATGTTAAATCTGAAGCTATCCTAGGGAACAAACTGGGAAGTGAGGAAAGAAATAGCCATCTGCTGACAAAGCGCACAACTGGATGGATGACAGGCACGTCATCTTGGACTTTGTCAGGGCATTTGTTTAACTGAAAATCGAGAGGACAATGTCCAGTTGGATGTGTTTGAATGCTTTAAACTTTTAAAGTTTAGGCCTGATGAGTCAAGATCACTGTTGAGAGAGGCTCTAAACAGCGCTCCTTCTTGTTCTCATAGATTTTAAAGAGGTGAGCACCTGGGACACGACCTGGGCTGAACCTCCAAAACGACCCTGCCATCACTGGAGACACACAAATCTTGTGCCTGACCTGCACTTACCTATTCTCCCCAGACCTATGATGCCCACCGTACTACCAGAGAGCCCATAGCCACACATCCATAAGGGTTTCCATGTTGTCCAGCCACCACTAGCAGAGAGAGCGAGATAGAAACAGATGTCAGATAGCAGGAGGGGAGAGCCTGCTCACAGCCCAGTCCAGCATTTGGACAAGTATGCCAGAGTACAACTCTGCAGGTGGCTAGCCCCTCTGGCACAGACAGATGATCTTATAGCCAGCCTCTCTGAGATTCCTGCTTCAAGCGACCTCAGTGGTCTGCTGCTGGAATCTGCTTGGACCTCGGGTGCGCAGCAGCCAGCCTTGGGACTGATTTAATTGAGGCACTGCTAACCCTAGCCCTGGAACGACTGCCAGCCAGTGAGCTCTGGCCAGACCTTCTGTACGTGCCCTCCTCAAGGGGTCTGTGGTGGCCCTGGGTGCCCTCTTGTGCAGGTCCTCTACTGAGCACAGAGAGGGGAGTTCTGCCCTCTCACAGCCCCTGAGCAGCACGTCTCCAAAGCCACGGAACTGCACGGGACTCCACCTTGGCCTGCAAGATGTTCGGTGCAAGCTGGGTGAAACTCTGGCTTCAGCCCCGTTTCATCTGTCCAGCGCGGCACGCTCTGTCCTGCAGCTCTCGACCCGGGGGCTGCCGGGTGCGGAAGCCAGCCCGTGCTTCAAGCTGCCAATACTCACTTCTTTACCTGCTCCACTGCCTCTGGCAGCCGGCGGCAAGCAGCCAGCAGTAAAGCTACCGAGAGTTCTGCGGTGGCGTCGGTCAGGACATCAGGGGTGTACCCCACGCGGATCCCTCTGCAAGGCAAGCACAGGTCTCGGGGGCAACGCTGCCAGCCTTGGGGTGCTACCTCCAAACTTCTGGGCAGGCTGCTGGTGTACCCCTCCATGTGCCAGAGAACATCCCTTCTGGCTCCTCAGCCCTCTCTCCAAAG